CGTAAGCATTTTAAGGTTATGTCATATGTAGATTCGATTAAATTCGATATTTATACCATACTTAATTATTACTAGGTATACTACTTTAAACTGTATTTAATTAGGTTGTGACCTTTTGTCTTCTATTTTGGACTGGGAGTGAAACAAAAATTGAATGCACACGCTGCGTAAAATCTTATCAACGGGCAGCGTATATTTGTAAACTGTTGCGTTGGTGAGCTGCTATCTATCTCTATTTATTCCAAACATCTCAGATTTAATAAATGTGGCGTTGTTGAGGTGCGGTTATATTAGTGCTATTTATACTTATTCTCTTTACGCTCAAGCTGCACCTTTGATGCTCTGTTAACCCAACAATGGATCTAATATTATTTAAGGTTTAGGAATCAAAAATAAATAAGACAAAATATTTTAATAATGATAATCATTTATTGATAACACATTTATTCAAATCGACATTATTTTTATTTTATATTTTTGAGGTTATGCCGTATCCAGTGGAACTGTAGTGACTTCGCCTAAAATATCTTTTGTAACTCGCCACCATGTCCTGTTGAGATTGAAATATCCAGTTAAAGCTCTGCTAAGTTCAATTAACACAGCAGTTTATACATTAAGCGTGCTCTAATCCTGGTTTATATATTGCCTTTTTTTAAAAAAGAACAAATCTGGACATATATATAAGTTGCGTCACACATAACAATAGCGGGTTTAATATCATTTGGTAAGATTGGATTACCAAACAATCCCTCCGGGATTATTTTATTTCTGCTGGCCACTTGCTCCACATTTACATGACCAAAGCCCAAATGTCTTGACACAAAATCTTCAACTAAACAACTTCTAGCTATATTCATTTTTCTCTCCAAGGTCCTACGAGACATTTGAAAGAGGGAACTTAATCGTTCATTGCTGTCCCCAGTTCTTAACTTGACTATGTAAATACAGAGTGCTAAACGGGGATTTTTGACACTCTGTAATAAGCTTGGTACACATGCCAAGAGTTCATCAAACTGTTCAGCATTCATTCCCAGCCAATAATGGCATAAGAAAGGAGCCATTGCAGAAATATTTTCAAAGTCGAAACAATGGGAAACTGCTCTCTGCATTATATTCAAAATTGCATCAAACTGTACACCAGTAAAATCTTGCAGATTTGATGTTAAATCACTCCAACGCCCATTATTCAAGTGATGTTGACATATTCTACAACATGTGGGAACATAGAATTTATTATGTATTAATAACATTTCTCTTATTACTCTGGGTACTAATAAACATTATTGTTCCCGGCATCCTGAAAACAGACAACTCAATGAAGTGGCTACAGCACGCTTATATACTGATGACTGTATCTTAGGTATAACAGATCTTGAAGGCTGAACAGGTAATAGACCAGCGGGAAATGGTGGTGGTACTGGGATCACTGGTACAGACTCTGTTGGTTCTACATCAATTTGTTCAATTGATGACCGATTCATCTCTGTCTTCTATTAGCTGCTCGCCAACAGGCAGCACAAACTCTTGAAATTCTTGACACCTATAAAAAAAAGATAAGTGAACTTGAATTTAATGAAAAACCATCTACAACTATTTTATGCAATAGAAATATATTTCTTATAATAATAATAATAAATCATTTATCTGACAAGATATGGTAAATTATACAGATCTCAAAAATATAACCAACATGACCTGTCGCTTTTATCGACGTGCAAATATTTATAGGTAGTTGCAGTATTATCCAGAACTCAATCTTTAAAAACTATATATATTATTTATATACCATAGTCATGATTGAGTTAGTTATTATATAATCAATTTCATTAATATACTACATGACAATTGTGCAATGTAAAAAAAATGTCAGTCATGTTTCAGTTAGTATTGAAATCAATTTAAATAAATTATTATTAATATAACATTTCAATCATGCAATGCAAAAATAATAATAATGTCACAGTCATGTTTTAATTAGCATTGAAATCAATTTTAATAATTTATTATTGATAATAATATCTTATACCATACCTGATGTGCTGGAGTCCATCTAAGAATATCATCTTTCTGGACAGTGTAGTGAAACCCTGTACGATTGACTTCTTAATATGGATTTTCCACAACCAAAACAGACTTGTTGATGGCCATATTGTGGTGCAGGTACTTCTTCTGTGGTGTCACTAGCTTGTAGTAGCATAAAGCATTCGTTGCACACTATGCCCCCATTCAATATCTATAACAAGTCAAAAATATTTATATTTATTTGAACATGTGAATGAAATTAAAACATTATCTCACGGTTGCGATTGTATAACGATATATTTTTAGTAATATAAGTAAATAATTACTTACAGAATCAGGTGCGATCCATGAGCTTAAAACATTAAGCATTGAATTGGATAGCATGTCCAAAGAATGTACTGGCTGTCGTCGTGGCACTGATATACAACAGTTAATACAACGTCGTTGCATACTGCCTGCGTTTTCTTGTGTAACACCAGATGCCATTGTAAACAAAAATAATTACAATAAACTAAGAGTCCAAATATCTCTGTCAGAATCACTAAAGGTAACTTAACACTAAATCAACGAGTCCAATGCTCTCTTTCCCAAAAAAAAGTTATTAACGGAGGATTACTCAACTCAACATTAAAACTATTCTGCCACAATAGACCACTGAAAACACAAATTCAATTTAAAATTGAAAACTGTACATAAGTAGTTAGTCACTCGGAACAAACAACAAACACGTTGACAACAAGTTGACAGCTACCTACTTCACTTGCCTATGGTATATATTTCGATTTGATATAGGAATCGATTCCTACATAATCGATTAATAAATGTTTTATTTTCAATGCAAATGCTTAAAATGTTCAAACCATGAGTTAATTTATATATGATTAAGTAATTATATATAACATAACTGATAATTTAAACAAAAATATATTCCCTTTTTTAATCTAAGATGTGAATATGTAGTACACATATAAAAGTTTTTGTATGCGATCTACTGTTTGATGAACAAAATAGTCCGCAGGCAAAAAATCCTCTTTTGCGCAGCCCATTAAGTTCCTTTTAGTTTTTAGATGCAATGAAAGAGAGCAATCCCTGGTAGGTACAGTGAGATAGTCACAACACAGGTCTTACAAATGATAACTTTATGAATTTAATGTTATTTATCATGATATAATATTGGTAAAAATGCTCGTATCCATCATACAAACATTTGCCTCACCGGAATTCGAAACCAGGCCCTCTGAATAGGCGATTTGGGGAAAATAATCTATCCATCGATCCATACAAAAATACGAATTAACGAATGATCATTATTTCGTAGTCATTTACGGTGTTTGGTAAAAATGTTTCAGGCTATTAATTGTTCTATGCTTTCAATTATAATAAACGTTTTATTTTTTCTTTTTGAAGTGAAACTTCTTTACGCACTCTTGACTTGGGGAGTAAGCTAGCGAACGTAAGCGTTAAGAAAAGTGTGATCGGGCGAGGCGAACGGGAGTTGAGTGGGGGATGTAAGCATGAGAAAGCAGTGCGCGTGCACATTTTCTTTCTCTCTTCCTCTCATAGCCAAATACGTTCCGTATATCTAAGCACAGTGCAAGCCTATTGTCTGTATCACAGTGTAGGAGCAAGAGCGCGCGCACGCATTTTCTTTTTCTTTTTCTCTTACAGCTAGTAAATGAAAGAAGTTTCACTTCAGTTGTCTAGTCATAAGCACACTTGTTTTTTTATGTTAAGAATATTTAAATAAAGAAATATAATCGATTTTTTTTCCTACGATAGTATCGACCAGGTGATACAACTTTTATCTATGGTTATTGGTTATTTACTCAGTTTAATAGCCATTTATTTATTATTTTAAATATCCGCATAATATTTACATAATAAACACACATATGAAATGATAATTCAGAAGAAGATTTTTGATACATAAATGCGTCAAGCGCAATCTAGGCGGATTTGCCCATTCTCCTTTTCCCCAGAACTTCTATTTAGGGCGAAGAAATAGTGGGTGTAATTTCAGCTAAGATAATATAATAGTTTAGTTGAAAAAAAAATTTCTCAAGAGAATGTCGGCTGCTAGTTTCAGTTTCATGCGTTGCGGCGGGCGCCGGCGCCGCTGCTGATGCGATGTAACAACGTTGATACGACGAAATCTTTGCGGTGCGGGCGCCGCAACGCATCGTGTGTTCACGCACTTATTCATTAATCTTACGTATAGTAGACTTTTTCGGGTATCAAAACCAGTGAGAAAGTCAGTTCCTCAGTCTAAAGGTGCAATGAAAGATTTGGTATTTACAAAGAATGCCATGTTTTACTGGACAGCAAACGGCTTCTGATTTCTGATTCAAAACTTTTTCAACATTCAATAAGATTAAAAAAAAAATGTTACTTTTCCAAACATTGTATTAAAATCTGAAGAGTGGTTTCTAAAGTGTAGGTGGTTTTCAAATTTATCTATTGTAGTGTACCAGGTAATAGAAACACTACAATTATTTTATTGTTGCTAGTGCTCGATGAACAAATAGAAATCAAAACTGCACTGCGCCGCCCACAGTCCAACAAAAATTGGCAGTGAACGGAAAATTTTGTTTCACTGCAATACACAAAACGTAGAATTGGGCATTGAAATGAGATTTACGCGGATTTGCACGAATATCTTGGCGCATTTCTCGCGCATTTATCAACCTCCGATGGCTTTAGTGCAATGTATTTTTATAATAAAAAAGCGCTTGTACGCTTTTAAACATAGCACTCATAGTATATTATATGTTTTATTTAAAACAGCTACAGAGCTAACAATATTTTTAAAAGAGAGGGTCAACAAAAAGGTCAACAAGAAAAGATACTTGACAAGATTTTGTTCATACATATTTGGTACATGAACTTGCCAGTATCAGCACAGAAAGTGCATTCAATAATAACTAACAGTGATAATAAAGGGCAAGAATATACGTTAAGGAGTGATGGAATGCACTTACGGCATGCTTCTTGGCAATCTGCATAACAGTCTTCCATGTGACCTCGTTGAGTAGTTTGGTCTGTGTGATGAACATCTTCTCCTTGGACGCTACCAGGCTGGCCATGCAATGGTAGCACTCCTCTTCTGCAAAACAAATTCTATGGTTACTATGACAGGTATTGAGCCATGTCGCACGGGAGATACCTAATCGTTCGTTACATTACAATGAAAACATTCACTTAATATACATACAAAGTTATACAATTCGAACAATATGCACTAGAGGAGTTCCCTCTATATTGCAGAATTTTGTTGCTCCGTAATTCATTTAGCATAACACATTTGGCATAATCTTTTTAAAATGATTATCTTGAAGGCATTTTTAATTGTTAATATAATTATTGTTTGGCTGAATGTTTATGGTTATGCCCAAATTCACAATGGCATACTTTTGAAACAGCAGAATTTTATTAGGCATGATTACCTTTGTCAAAATTTATTTCTGCATAATTTCGTTAAGTATAGCTTTTATTTATGACAGTGGGTGTTAGGTTAGCGTTGTGAGCTGAATTAAGCGAGCGAGCGAGCCGGCGAAGACCCAACCACCTGCTATACTTAATAGATAAATAAAACAAGAAAAAGTTAAATGTTTGTATGCCAGAAAAGTACGTACTAGAGATGGACCTACTAATAAACAATATCCGTCTATTAAAACCACGGTCCCAGGCAAGGCAACGTGAAATGAAATTACTAGGCATGGGTCCGATATATCAAAACGAATCCAAAATCCGATTTCAAACACAAATCGATACCGAACGATTTCTCAACAAGAAAATCCGATTTCAGAAATCTAACCGAACCAAAACGCTAGCGATCTAATACCACAAGTATCCAAATGTAAATCGGATTCGAAATTCGTGCTTTCGTTTTCGGAAGTCCGATTTCGGTTTGCTGTTTACGGAAATCTATTGTTCTTCTCTAAGGCGGGATTATTTATTACTGAAAAAGATGTCGTCTAAAAACATCAAAAGTCGAGCAACTGACATTTTTTTGAACGCTAACCTGAAGTAATTAGGTTTGATTTTGTAAATGGTTTGAAAAATAATAAAAACAAACAGAAAAACAAAAAAAAATACTAAAAACATATGTAAAAAGAAATCTTTGTATATAAGCCGATTTTTAAATGCGCCGCAAAAGTTTTACTTTTAACCGTAAAGATAACTTTTCTGCTAGTTCTAAGCCACAGAATATATACTCTTGCCTAAGCCTAGATTTAAAGCATAAAGGAAAATCGCGGAAATCTACGAGTATCCTTGCTACGTACAATTAATTGTTTGTGATTGTCGTTAGCTAATAAAACCAAATCATAACACTAACTAGTGAATTGGCTAAGTTCGGCACATCTGAAATCGGATATCTAAAAACGGATTTTAAAATCGATTTTGAAATCGGAAATCCGATAAATATCCGTTTGCGTTCAAAACCAAAAACGCCCATGTCTAGAAATTACGGCCTGAGAGCTCTAGAAGGGAAATCAAATGTATTTTTAATTTGATAGAGTTATTGGAAGTCAATCTATAGGTATTGACTAAAAGGAATATAAAATGGAGCCACCGAGTGAAGTTCAAAGCGAGCTATATAAAACTCCGCCAGTATAAGCGAATGAATGGGAACGCCCAAGAAAGCACCACTCTGCGTGTTAACCACGTGTTAACCCTAACGTGACAGATGTAGTCGACATCGAACCGATACCGCCCGACATGTGGAATAAACGAATGGAAAAACCAGGCCAGGCGCGGTGACTGGAAAATGGATTTTGTATTTTAGAACATAGGTATAAGATTGATTGAGTTTTAACCTTAGAAGTTGGTTTATCAAAAAAAAGTGTTTGATTTTTTTATGGAATGGAAGGAAACTATCGCTCAATTTGATAAGACTACTAACGATTTGATTTTGGTGAAAATAAGATAAATTTTAGCATTATTGTCATAAGATTAAAAAATTCAACAAAGCTTAGCGCTACAATTAGTAGGAAATCAATATACTTACTAACTAAAAATATGTAAAGACTAATACTACTTTTGACTACGATCTTACGTTCAATTGACAAAATATACCACTGGAGGGTTTCCCGGAAATACGATTTCTAGTAGAGCCTGCTGGTGATGGATCAATATGTGATCAGTGTATTCAATATAAGCCAAATGTATACATTAGTACGAACATTGCCGATCAATCAGAAGCGACGACGACACCGCTATTCTTGAATTGTAATTGATTGAGGATGTGAATGGTACCTTCAATGAATCTCATGTCTCAATTTGTTTCATTGTAATTTTAGATTGGCACGTGAATTGTGAATAAGTTCTATTACTTATCGTAATATTATCGTACCGTGATCTGATTATAGCTTGTAAAAGTGGGATTTTCTTTGTCATAAAATTACTGGGATACTTAAATTCAAAGTACTGAATTTTTAAAGGCAGGTCTCTTTTTAACCTATTTTAACTTCGAAGGTCCACTTGTAACAAATTGGCTAAACCTAGATTCCACTTTAACAAGATTTCACCCATTAAAAATGCCAAAACGTTGAATTGACAATTTGACATTACTGTATGGACAAAATGTTGTTTAGTTAAATTCAGATTAGCAAAATTGCTTCACAAAGTATGAAATTAGGACCTCCGTGGGTCCTGAAGTCCATGAAGTCTATGAAAGTAATAGAAATTGAATGTTCATTATACGATATTATTCTTGTTTATACGATACGCTATTCTAAAGTTAATTAGGACATAAGCCATCACAAAAACTGAGCAAACACCTGTGATTGTATCAAGGCGTGTTTACGCAATACAACACTGTGGGGCACTGCACTGTCAATTAACAAGACCGTGGAGATCTAACAGCTGAAAAATATTCATCACTCTATATCATAAAGGCGAAATTTTGTGAGTGTGTGAGTATGTATGTTTCTTACTTCTTCACGTCTAAACGGCAGGAGCGATTGGTATGAAGTTAGCTGACACCATGGATTAGGCTACACATAGGCTACGTTTTACTGCGGGAAAATTTCCCTAATAAACGGCGGGTAACACCGCAAGGCACAGCTAGTTTTACGATATAAAATGAATGGAAAATTTTGAGATGAAACAATTTATGACAAATTAAATGTATCATACGCTAAAGTAGTAACCAGTGGCTCAGATTTTTAAAATAATTGACTTTTAATGATATTACAGAACACGATTATGAATGTTATCTTAATAACAAACACAGTAAGCTATTATGATTAAAAATCTGTATTTGTTCTAATGTTATCAGTTTCAATATTATTTTTATCACAGATTTCGTATTATATTTACAAGGATAATAGAAACAGCGCAATAGTTACATTCATTGTGTTTTCATCTGATAACTAAAGTTCAATATATTTCAGTATTATAAAAGTTAATTCTAACAATACTACTAACCAAAGCATACTTTAGTAAAATCAATGATTAAATCGTGTGTCGTGTAACAATTTAATTGATGTATTCCTTTAAACTTTACAAAAGATATACAAAATAGAATTTACATAACACGGCCAACGTACAAGTTCCTGACACAAAACTCTTGTGGAAATTCGGCATTCACGGCTTCACGGTGTGAGCTTTTAACAAACTCCAAACTCTCACCAGTCTGTAATATCCACCGTGGTAATAGCATTATATCCTGTGAGTGAGAGCGAGGACCGCTCGCTAAGTGTCACGTTTGTCCTTTTATTTAACTAAAGCAAGATGGTTATTTCTCTGTGACCTATATTAACTGCAGTAATGTGATTATCTTGATACTGTAGTAATGTATTTAGAAAATAATGGCCTCCAAGTACAGAACATTACCCTTAGTACGAGTTCACAATTATGAAAACTATGATAGTGTTCGAGAGCTCGCACTCGTACTAAGGGTACAGATTTTATTGTTTTCGTTTCAATACAAATAAACAGTGTTTAAATTCTATCATTAAATCATTTTTGCGACTTCATAAATTTTAAGAATATTTGGTTACTTTTCACCAAAATGGACATAGAAACATAATTTACAATTACGAAAACTATGATAGTTTTCGTGAGCTCAAACTCGTACTAAGGGTACATGTGTCGTTAGAAACTTCAGTAAAAATTGGGGATAGTTATCAAACTAATTTTCCTAAATTTAGACTGAAATATTCAAACATTTCAAGTATGATATACGATCTAAAGTTAAAAGAACCTCTCACTAGTGAAAATAATAAAGTAGGTAATGACTTTAGGCGTTGGCGGCTTCACGGGGTGCGTGCTTTTAACTCCAAGCTTTCACGACTAGGCAATATCCAGCGTGGTAATAGTATTATAGCCAGCGTGGTAATAGCATTATATCCTGCGGGGCACCCAGAGGACCGCTCACTAAGTGTCACGTTCCCACTGGAGCTTGCGACGAAATCCCATTAGCCGTCCGTTTAGAAAACTAAAGTGAGATGGATTTATCTGTGAGCTATATTAACTGCAGCTTAGTGAAAATCTTAGTCCAGTAGTAATGTGTTTAGAAAATAAATAGCGCGCCTGACTGCAGGAGATTGAAAAAAGTTCTCTCCTTTCTTATTTAATATTGTCACTTCCTAGTGACTGAAACTGAAAAGAAGGTTATGTATCAAACGACTTATCTAAAATTAGACTAAATGTGTTCTCTCCCTTCTTATTTAATATTGTGACTCCCTAGTGACTAAAACTGAAAAGAAGGTTTTAGGTATCAAACGACCTAACTAAAATTAGACTAAATGTGTTCTCTCCCTTCTTATTTAATATTGTGACACCCTAGTGACTGAAACTGAAAAGAAGGTTATAGGTATCAAACGACTTATCTAAAATTAGACTAAATGTGTTCTCTCCCTTCTTATTTAATATTGTGACTCCCTTGTGACTAAAACTGAAAAGAAGGTTTTAGGTATCAAACGACCTAACTAAAATTAGACTAAATGTGTTCTCTCCCTTCTTATTTAATATTGTGACACCCTAGTGACTGAAACTGAAAAGAAGGTTATAGGTATCAAACGACTTATCTAAAATTAGACTAAATGTACTTGTACTATTATGTATTCTGTGCTTAATGTTTCAACATGTGACCTGTAT